TGACTGGGACTGTCAGCGGGACGCAACCAGGAGGAATGCCGGATCCAGCCTGGTAATAGTCCTGCTGCGTCCCGCGAAAGTGCCGGAATGTAGAGACGAGCTGGCTGGCGTTCGGATGGTTCCAACTCGAGGGCAGAATTTCGGGATATTTTCCTGGCTTAAAGACACTGGGGCCCTTGTTCTAAAAAAGTTGAAGCAGATGGCGTGGATGTCCTGTTCCCAAGCAGGTGAGAACAGCCTGGACAGCAAATGACACAACCTTATTTCACTCCAATCAATGGTCTTTTGGTGGGTATTTTATTAAGGTCACTTCTGGTAGTAAACCGCGGAAGAATGAAACTCGGAACATACATGCACTGAGTGGTCACTGAGCACCGTCTTAAATGATTATGCACAGTAAGCCAAGGCAATGCTAATGACTCAACTTAACACAGTTTTGCCGTCTTATATTGTTCACATGAATGTTGGTGACTGAAAGCAGGGCAAAATGCTGCATGCAACGGCGGTGAAAAAACTCCTGATGTGCCGAAAATGACTGGCGACAAAAACGGACACTTTTGCCAGTCAGTTAGTAGTAAAAGTGCGAAAATAGAAACAAATGAGAACAGACTAGACCATATTACAACTGACCATACCAGCTAGACAAAGCTCAAAACTTAGCATTTGTCTGTATTTGCTAAGGCATGCAGCGTGAGCATCGAACCGTTGACGTTTTGCTCTGAGCAAGTTAAGCCGCGAGATTTGAGCAAAAAAAGAGGCTTTAATCAGGATAGTTTTAGCAGGCGACAGAAATATACTGGGAGCCATACCATATTTGTGTTGACGCTACAAATCAGCGGTGACACATTGCTTTTCCAATGTCCCCCAGATCAGTGCTTTTCACAGATTTTTCAGCCAAGATTCACTACATACTAAACAGTATAAGATACCAAATACGAGAAGTCTTATTACCAGTCGAAAGAATTGTGACTAACCACAGCATCTTGCAACGAACGTGATCAGTTTGCTACGCGGCGTATCAAAGCGTTGTGAAGCATTTGAGGCAGATGGGCTCGAACGTTCGACGCGCGGTAAACAATTGGGTTCAGTACAAGGCTGTGGGCTGCCGTTGGTTGCGTTTATGTTGTGAGACGCTGTCTGTTTTGAAACCCTTAGCAACTCGTCAGTTTTTAAGGCGCTGTGCGGCTTTTCTGAAGATCTTGCATGGAGGGCGTCCCTGATTTGACAGCAGACACCTGGTAATAGCGTTAAAAAGCCCGACCGATCTAGGAGGCTTGTTGTTTGTGGATACTGGAACTGCAACTTCAGAGGTCAACGGCAAACGTTGGAGCGACATATGTCAGGGATCCATCCGGGGCGTTCTGCTGATGAGAGGAACAGCAGATTTAAGGAAGGATGCCGAGCTTCGCTGGTGTAGGCATCTCATATTGCCGGTCACACCCCAAATTTAGCATTCCGACGAGTGAACAGGTGTGGGGTAAAACGCTTTTAATCGTCCTCATGTCTCATATAGAGCCAAATAAAGTTACTAGAGTTGTTAAAAAACATCGCTTCATATGCTGGTATCAGTATTGCATGGCATTTGCAGCAATTAAGTAGAATCATTTTAGGAAGTGTGCGCTCTGCACCTGTAATGATTATGCAACGATAGGGAAGGTCGCCAATGCTTCCAGCAAGTTGTACGGTGACGCCGCAGAACCAAACTGACATTGTTTTCAGGTGCTTGCACAACTATGCTATCGGCAAATATAGGATCAAAGGGATGCAGTTTTCAAAAGAAGGGGGGGGGGCGTACAGGAAGAAAAATGGTTGGGCCTCCCTCGAAATACACTTAAAATGGTTTTCTCCCCAGATTTGGCGCACATTTTTTCAGAGAGTTGGAAGGAGGGGTGCAATTTCTCAAAACCAAGTCTGGGGGACTGTCTCCAAAAAAATGTCTTCTGTCTTTGTTTCTCATGGCTCTCTGTATCCTGTTTCCACGTTATTCCAAGAGAAAAAGGCTATTGATGTTGTCTTACAAGAGACGTCACTTTCTGCGACCGTATTGCATCAAAAGAGCATAGACACTACCACTGTGACATCACACGTTTCTTGTTGGCCCCGCAATCAACGTCTAGCATGTGCAAGCATCAGACTAGACTAAACATCTGATTGCCCGCAAGGATTACAGCGGATGCAAGCAATTGTTATAATGTTTTTGGGTTAAAGGGTATGCCATTAGTTGCCACGGCTCGCCCGTGGTCAACTTTTTCTTTCGGTGAGCATCACAGGAGACCCACTGACCCGTTTGGCACGCGCCGATGGCATTGACAGCAGACACACGGTCTGGCTTGACGGCTTCCGAACAGCTGACTGAGACCGTTCCACATCGGGAGGAGGAAAACGGGCGCCAGGGGGGGGGGGGGGGGGGGCGCCCACCCTCTCAGTCAGCTTCCATGCATGCGGACCGTTTACTGGGCGCGGGTGGTAGACGTTGATATAGGTCGGTGAGTTGAAGGTAGCTGAGTATTTTTTTTTACTGAGAAGGTGAATAAAAGGTACTTTCGGTGTAATCAATGATCTCTTGGATACCTGTCGAGCCGAGCGATCAGACAACACGTGGCTCAACAGCACGCGCTGGTTGTTCCATCTGCTTCAGTGAAAAGGAGGCCGTCCATAAATTACATCACGAATGTAGGGGGGGGGGGGGGTGGTCTTGATGAAGCGTAACGGGGGTGCAACAGCGCGATGCTATGCTCAGGTGACAGGGTGTGGTGGCAAGCCATGCAATTTTTAAAAATAAAACCTTATGTTTGAAGCCGTTGGTTAAAAAACACGCCCGTGGCTTGGTTCGCATCTGAGGTTAATTAGGGGCCAAATAGACGTTACACTTGTAGGATACTACAATGCATGCAGTGGGGCGAGCGGAGCGGGCGCGCCCGGCGTAATTAGTACGTAGCCAGGGGGAGGTAGGGTGGAATGGTGGCAAAAACATGCGTGACTTATCAACAGAGGTCATTAAGTGCAGGAAGTGTCATCACTTTTCGAGAAACTAAATAGGCTCCAATACGTCACGTAAAATGGAACATTATACAGGAGCATTCACCGACCGGCAGCGGCGGAGGCAGACATTATACCGTTACATTCCCAGACCGGTACCGGCGGAGGCGGACATTATACCGTAGCATTTACCGACCGGCATGGGCGGCGGCGGACATTATACCATAACATTCACTGACCGGCAGCGGCGACAGCGGACATTATACCGGAGCATTCACCGACCGGCAGCGGCGACGGCGGACATTATACCGGAGCATTCACCGACTGGCAGCGGCGACGGCAGACATTATACCGTAACATTCCCAGACCGGTAGCGGCGGAGGCGGACATTACACCGTATCATTTACCGGCCGGCATGGGCGGCGGCGGACATTATACCATAACATTCACTGACCGGCAGCGGCGACGGCGGACATTATACCATAACATTCACCGACTGGCAGCGGCGACGGCGGACATTATACCGTAGCATTCACTGACCGGCAGCGGCGACGGCGGACATTATACCATAACATTCACTGACCGGCAGCGGCGACGGCGGACATTATACCATAACATTCACCGACTGGCAGCGGCGACGGCGGACATTATACCGTAACATTCACTGACCGGCAGCGGCGACGGCGAGCATTATACCGTAACATTCACCAACTGGCAGCGGCGGCGGCGGGCATTATACTGGAGCATTCACCGGCCGGCAGCGGCGGCGGCAGACATAAGACTGCAGCATTCACCGACCGGCAGCGGCGGCGGGCAGCCGAGCCGCTGGCCGTCGGTGGTGTCTTTCCTGGTCACACGACACGCCCCGGTCACGTGACGTCATTAATATGTGGGCATCCTGTCAGTCAATTGCATTCAAGCTCAGGAAGTTGAACATTTTAGGGTTGAACAATGCCATCCTTGTTGATATCTGTCTGTGAGCTGCAAGCTGGATATTTCCGTGAAAAATGTGATACAAATGTCAAGGATTCCCTGTGGCGGCTGCCTTGCTCCGGCGATGCTGCATTCCCCATACAAGCTAGCGAGGCCCCGCGGCTGGCGAGCTGCTGGCGACGAGACGCGACGCGGCTGGCGAGCCAGTGCGCGTCTTATCAGGGGAGGTGTAGCATATCGCTGGGTCGAGCTCAAAGCAAACCATTCCGTTGTTTTTAAATCTGCGGGCACACCGGGTCCATGCTGAAGGAGACGTGCCATGTTGTGGCAGCTGAAATAAGCCCGGCCCATTTATTACGTTCTCCCTACGAAGCTTAGTGCCGGCGCACGCAGTCCGACGGCATCAAGTCCGAACGCAGCCGGAGCGCGTGCGTCCGCCTCCGGTCGCCAGCGGCGCCCGTCCCCGCACGCGCACCACCTGTAATCGGACCAACGTGACGCATGTCCGCACAAAGGCTTCAGTGGTTAGATTCTGAAAGTGTGAACAGCGATTGAGGTCATCCTTAACGTAAGAAAAGGCGTCCAATGCCAAAAAAGCAAAACAAGGCCAGCATGTCACCCCAAATGGATGGTGAGTGAGACAACCATCCCGCCTGTTGCCATTTCACGGTGTTGGCACACGTCCATCGCGCCGTTCTCCGCAACGCACGACCAGTGGCGGATACCCCACCAAGCATCGAAGTCTACTTTGAATCAGGCGGGAGCACTGCTAACAAGACCGCATTCCACAGCAGATTCTGATTTCGCTGCATCGCGCGATCGGGTCCGGCGAGACGATAAGCCGATTTCCAGCCACCCTGGCGACCCGATTCACCTGACAGCAGACAGCCGCCCGCGTTTCTCTGTGCCCCAATCCCATCCAAACCGGTGAAAGTGGAAGCTGCTGTTCCAGCCGTCTACTCCAGCTCCTTCATCGCGCCGTCCAGTGGCTGAGCGCCGATCCGATCAGCGTGCCGCCTCCGGCCGGGGGCGACCGCGCGCCGTACACGACATGGACCGGCACGGCGCCGGCGCCGCCAGTGGTCGTCATGGGCTCGCCCCTGCCGAGCTGGACGCTGCTGCTGCCGCTGCTGTTGGCAATGCTACTGCCTGGCGCCGGGGGCGAGCCGCCCCGGCCGGCGGCCAGCTATCAGGCCACGCCGAAGCCGACCCCGGCGGCCGGCTACCAGGCCACGCCGAAGCCGGCTCCGGCGCCCGGCTATCTGCCGCCGGCGCTGCCGCCCGGGCACCACGCGCTGCCCGGCGTGCTCCAGCGGCAGCAGCAGCGGCACGTGCAGCAGTGGGAGGAGGCGAAGACACACCGCGGGATGGCGGACGTGCAGCAGAAGGCGGGCGCAATGTTCTACTATCACGCGCCGAAACCGTCGCGATCCGGTCCCGCTGACACCGGCGTCATGCACAAGCTCAAGCTCAAGTTCGGCTCGGCGATGAGCGAGTTCAAGAAGTTCGCTAAGCAGCTCTCGTCACCGCCGCGGGGGACACCGTCAAGTCGCAAAAGGCAGCCGCCAGGTCAGCCGGGTCGAGCGAAGCGGCCCCCGCACGGCGACGGTCCGGGTCACCGCCGTCCGACCGGCAGCCATCGCCGGCCGAGACCGCCGAAGAGACGACGGAACACGACCATCACCGCTGAGGAGGAGGCCAGGCGAGCCAGAGAGCGTCTGCAGACGGGTGAGTAGCGCGGGGGCGGTCTGCTGAGGTGAGGGCGCGGCGGAAACGACACCCGGACGCCGGGGGGAGGGAGGGGAGGGGCGCCCGGACAGGCGAGCCGTCCTGACGAGTCAGGGGGCCGGGCGGGCCTATCACTGGTCGGGGGAGGGTGTCTGGTGATATGAAGACGCCAGACGAGCAGGTGGGTCACCGACGGACGTGGGCTCCGTTACAGGATCACTGTCGTCTGGTATGGCAGCCTGTGGCCACCTGGAGATGGGTACGGTATAGGATCACTGCCGCCTGGTGTGGCGGCCTATGATCATCTGGGGGCTGGGTAAGGTACGCGCTGAAAAAAAGATTCGTACATGCATGGGCATGTTTATTCGATAGCAGCACGCCGCGGCACACAGTTGGTCGGGATGAGGCTGCACGTACTTGGCTCGTACATCGCAAGTTAACATACAGTTCGTCGGGGTGGGATGCACATGCTTAGCTCATATACACAGTTCGTCGGGGTGGGGCTGCACATACTTGGCTCGTACATCACAAGTAAACGCGTTCTCTTCGACGGTTTGTGGATGCCGTTCCCTCTGGTGGTTTGTGGATGCCGTTCCCTCTGGTGGTTTGTGGATGCCGTTCCCTCTGGTGGTTTGCCAACGCCAGGTCGCTTTGTGCTGTGTGTCTCTTGCTCACGCGATATCGAATATTTCCAATCGAGGGCTGCTTACCAGAATGGGAAGAAGGACACTCCCGTCCGCGAGTCCGAAGGATGAGTGTTGATACCTGTTTGTCGACGACGCTTCGCAGCGATCTTCAAGCGGGTAATTTCAAACCTACTGGCAAAATGAACGTTTCTTTGCAACAGAGACGCGTCCCCACATGCCTTCGCGGGAGTGATCTCAATACTTTTTTTAAACTCAAGTCGCATAATTACCGTCAAGTTTTCTGCGTCAGTCACTATGCGTGGTATGCGCCGTAGAAAGTTATACAGCGCAATACAGCACCCTGTCACACATCTGTGTATCACATCACCACGTGGCATATGCGGCGCTTCAACACGGAAATCAGTCTCCAGGATATGAACAATTCTATTAATTTTAGAGAAAAGATGCAAGAACATCGATCACGAGGTGTTCTCCGTCTACCGTTTTGTAAACCGCGGCTTCCTGTGCCTTCGCTGAGAATCGCCCTTCACCAGTGGCTGTGCCTCTTTCCAGCCCGTTGGGGGTTTGTATTCTTAGCGTGCACTTACATCGTCGCATATGGATGTGTAGCATCCTTGCGAGAAAACATTCACATGCCGCTGCACCCGCTGTGGAGGGTACATGGTCCGTTCCCAACGTTGTCCTGTCTGCTTTTGAACGTGCCAAGCTCTTCAACAATAGCTTGTACGACTTTTTTATTTTTAAAACCTGATGCATGTGTATGCAGGACAATCGTGTATACCATCGCCAATTAAAATAATAAATCTGACCCCGGCTAAGCTAGGACAGCTCCTATTTTACGGGCGGGGCCTCAATCGAAAACCAACTTTATTTCTAATTTCTTCTAAGTTCTAATTTCTAATTTCTAATTTCAGTTTTTTCAGTTTTCAATTTCAGAGTTCTAATTTCACGCGGCCATGGGTTCGTATAAACAGTTGCCTGTAAAGTTGCTGTCATTTTTAAGCAGCCCTTTCCTGAATCCCAAATGAGCATGATGGCAGAGGCCGCCGTGGTGAGCTATTTCTCTGGAAATACCATGCCACCTCAGTCGAGTAGGAAGCTTTGACACCAAAGCAACTCAGTGCACACGGCCTTTTTTGTTCCAGGTGATCTCTGGCTGGGTGAGTTTTTGGTCTGGATGTTCGGACTGCTGTACGTCGGAGGCGTTACCATCGGCTGAGACTGTGCATCGGCGAAGACCAGCGGGAAAGCCAATGCTAATGGAATGGATGGGAACTCCGGAATGAGACTGATGCAAGGAAGCTGCGCTGGTATGACAGAGGTCTACGGTGGTGCGGGCACCTCGAAAAAAGCGTGAGACTTGGGTTTTTACGCCGACGTTTTGTTAGTTTACTGTTGTTGGAGTGCGTCACAAAGAGGTGTGGGTTAATATACATCGCAAAAAGTATTTGCCCTATCGGTACACACTCAGGACAATTCAAGGTGGTGAATGAGGCTTAACGAAAATGCGTTACAATGTATGCGTTGCAGATATTTAATTTTCAAAGATGAATATCCATGAATATCAATGTGAGGTGCGATTCGATACAAAATATAGTGATACGCACGCATCGCTGGGCCTGGACGCATGCATGCGCATTAACAATAACAATGAATTTCGTAGGATAGCAAGGCATGCGTTGTCACTGCAATGATAATGGTCGTATGGGTTATCCAGGCTACGCAATGCACTCAAATGTTGCGTTGAGTCCCCTAGCTTCGCTGATTTCGCCTAAATTTACCATCCACGTCTTGCCAATGTCATCCTTGCTAGTCCTTTTCACTTTAAGGTTATTTTCCACCTGGCACATTGTTCTATATGCATACATGCATGTCCGTTTGATTCGTTGCCCGCAGCATGTGAAGTTTTACAAATAATGTTAAAGGTTGCTTGTTGTCCATTGTCGAGCCGCCAGATGATTATAAGTTAGGTCAAGTCGCGTGTGTTATTACCTCATCGGAGCTTTCCTTATTTTGCAGAGAAAAGCTGGTTCAAGTCAAAGTGCATTACCACTATTTATTTTCAACAGGCAGCATCAGATCATCAGAGGGCCTTCCATGCTGATCAGCTTGCCTTTGATCCTGAGTACAATATGCATTTTTAATCAAGGCGACGCATGTTCGGGATTTGTTGCAGCTGATTATGCGCTTACTAAAATCGAAATTTGGTATCACTTCCTGGACGAATACAACGGAATAGCTCTGTGAATAGATACAGCCTTTTCTATCTACGATGAGTCTACTGCCGGCAGCAGCCAATCGCCGCTTAGCAGCCACAGGCGCGGCCCGGGGGCCTTTCTCGCCAGCCGCCGCTGGCCCAGAAATGCCGGCGGCTCGGAGCCCTCCACTGGCCGGAGTATCCTTCTCACTAGCCGGCGCTGAGCCAGGAGTGCTGGTGGCGCGGGGTCGCGCCGCTGGCCCGAGCATCCTTCCCACTAGCCGCCGCGGGGCCAGGAATGCCAGCAGCACGGGACCCTCCACTGGCCCGAGCATCCTTCCCACCAGCCGGCGCTGAGCCAGGAATGCCAGCAGCACGGGACCCTCCACTGGCCCGAGCATCCTTCCCACTAGCCGGCCGCTGAGCCAGGAATGCCAGCAGCACAGCAGCACGGGACCCTCCACTGGCCCGAGCATCCTTCCCACTAGCCGGCGCTGAGCCAGGAATGCCAGCAGCACGGGACCCTCCACTGGCCCGGGCATCCTTCCCACCAGCCGGCGCTGAGCCAGAATGCCGGCAGCTCGGGGCCGCAACTGCTGGCTTGAGCATCCTTCCCACTAGCCGCCGCTGGGCCAGCGGAATGCCGGCAGCTCGGCGCCGCGCCGCTGGCCAGAGGCGCGCCCAACTTTATATTTATCTCGCCTGGCCTGTTCCGTGGGGAGGGGCTGGCGTGACGTCATGTCGTCGTCGGCGACGCGCCAGCTGAATGTCGTGTCGCTAGACTCGCCACCGACGCGCAGTTTGCATAGGTCAGCGCCAAGGTCGGAAGCCGAGGTATACTATACGATGAGAGCTACATTCAGAGGCTACAACGATTTGTTTTCACAATTACCTTTCAGCGTTGCTGGTAGGGTCACATCGTAATTTGGGACTGAATGTCAGGGAACACCAAAATGACTGCTATAATAGCGGTGCGTTTGTATAAAATATAATTTGCTGTACCCCTAATGCATTATCATCAATTGTCACACTGGCCACGCGAGACATCCCCCCCTAAGGCTTAAAAACGCTGACGACGTACCGCCCCTACATAAGCAACAACGGAGACTTTGTGAGGGTCACTACTCGTCATAATGTGAGGGTGGCAGTGCACTAGATAGTGGGCTGCAGACACTGCTTTCGTCGTCCCCACAGCCCCCCCCCCCCTCCCCCCTTCCAGGCTGCCAACACACAATGTGCCGTCAGCGCTGACACGCACGTCCGCGGCGTCAGCTGGAGCGCCGGAGGCGAGCAATGAGACCCGGCCCTGGGCTCCTTGTTGTTCAAGATGGGGCCGAGCGGGGGACCTGTGCCGTGATCGGGCTGGCGGCGGAAGGGTCGCACGCGGCGGGGGGGGGGGGGGTCATATGGCCACCTCGCCTACTGCCGAGGTGGCCAAATGATCGGCCACCGGCTTCCTCACCCGAACCGGAACCACATGCCGTGCTCAGATCGGCGGTGGAGGGAGCGGAGGGAATGGTGCCTCCTGTCACTGGGCTCGGTGGCTGGTCGCCGACGTCTGCGGCCTTCGCGTCGGCGGTGCATACCTTCTCGTGCCGCCGCGCTGGCGGAGTGCCAGACATGCGGCGGCCCCTGGAGCGCCAGGCGGCGCTGCCAAGCCGGCTGACCTCTGCCTCCCGGTGGATGCTGAGTGTGACGCGCGGCGTAACCTGGCGGCGCGGCTCGCAAGTATTGGCTATTTATGCAGTGAGCCTGGTAATGTTACCCGATGTCTGCCTGACCTACCTGTCGTCTGTTGAATGGAGTATTCCACATTGATATGGGGGTTTGAACAGGAATAGTCATTTTGAAGGTCATTGGGTGCAGATCACAGCCCTGCCGTTCTTAAGAACTAAGCCCCTCTTGTTTCTGAGCTAAACGCCCGCGACGATGGGGAGGCTATTTTGCGGAGGATATCTCAATGTCACCTTGGCATTCATGACGTCATGATAACGTCATTTAAATCCTGCCATGACATAAAGCATGCGGCGATCAGGGCTGAGAAGAATATAATGGCTGAGTCGTTCATATCTAGCGTTTGTGAGCACGATTTCCCGATAAAACAGCAGTCAATTGGCTTTTAATCAATGTTGTGCGTGGTACGATTCTGTAATATAACAATGACATTGGGGGGCATATTTACTAAACAGAGAAATGGTGTGGATTAGAGCAGTTTTTTTCTTTTATATGCCTGGTGCTTGCTTCGATGTCTTCAAATGTGAAACATTGCCTTAAAGGGAGCATTTCACGTTTGAAGACATTGAAGCAAGCATCAGATGTGATGAAACAAGCTCACGTATAACTACTGCACGCTTATTAAGTGGAAAATACTGCTCTAGACAACCCAATTTTCTCTTTGGTAAATATGCTTCTCAATGCGTCATGATTTGATTACGTCATCGTAATTGCCAAGGCGTCTGAAATGCTCTCCCTGATAAAGCTTTCCCCCATTTTCGCGGGTGTGTAGCTCAGAAACTAGAGGGGTTGAGGTCCTAAGAAGAGCAGGATTGTGAACAGCACCGGGAGGTCTTCAACATGGCTATTTCAGTTCAAACCCCCATGGAAATGTGGAACACTTCTTTTAAGCAGGTGTGCTCGGTACGCGTTTTTGACAGGGAGTACGCGTGCCAAAAAGTTTCTCAGTGGTATCATTACAAACAATCGGTAAATATGATTAAACCACTGATAACGGGCACCAATTTATCTCACTCGCCGTGCTTGTGTCATGTTAAGCGAGGTTCTTCCATGCGCATGTAAGGGTGGATAATGCTGCGAATTGTTAGTTTGGCAAAACCACTGGAATGGGCATCTTTCGGTGGAAAATAATTAAATGGACACAATTCTGGGTGAAGATGTGCCGTTGCCAAGCGTGCAGCACGCTGTATCCTCTACCCGTGCAAACACGCTTTTTACTTATGTGATTACATGAGTGAACAGCGTAGAGAGAGACCGTAGATACCTCGGTACTCACGATGCGCAGGGGATTAAAGCTACACGCAGCTTCTGACGTGAGCACAAGCACAGTGACGCTTGTCGCATCACATGCGACTTTGAGCAGCCTCCCGTCACATTCGTCACTTGAGCACAGGTGAACGCATGAGGTTCGAGCAGGTGATACCAAGATCCCCGCCGTATCAGGCATGCATGCAGCGAACCTATCTGTTTTGCTTTGTTTTTGTAATCCAGGGCGTGACAAGTGAAAGGCAAAATGTGGGTTGTAACAATGATAGATGATAACAGTTGCTGATGTTAGCGTTCGCACCTAGACACCGTTCCCGCTGTTGGAGCTCGTTTGGTAGAACGGTGGACTGCAGCCATCCCGCGTCAAGCCTGTCAGAATAGTGGAAGTCACTGACCTATGGCAGGCCCATGTCAGACCATGGCTGTCAGGGAAGGGAATTCGCAGGTAATCGTTCAAAATGATGCGGCTGCGGATTCTTAGACGAAGTCATACAATTTTATCGTGGTTTCTTACACAACTAGGCTAAAAAAGTAGGATTTCGACAACTTGCGTTGATCTTGGCTTGTTGTGAAGTTCTGATCAAGGTTAAATCCATATCGCTTTCTTACTAATGTTTGTGTTCCGTGGGACAGTTTTTACATCCACTTCAAATATCTGGATCATAGCGACTTTAAGCGACGTTTTATTTTGATTGCACGAAGGTCGGAGGAGGTTACTGACCTAAAACGACCTCGATCAACCGTTCGCTTTCCTAAACATGACGCCTAGTGAAGTCCTTGGCGCCGATTGTAATATGAACACAATGTCAAAAGTTTGATCATTCTTACCTTCTTAAGGTCAAATCAGGTCATCGACCTGATTTAAACACCACTGGCATTCTACTTATAAGAGGTATCTCAGTTCAAGCTAGTTGCGTAAGCTGATCTGGTATTTGGCCTTGTTTGACGTTATTTGATCTGAAGGTCACAGCCTGCCTAGGGATCTTTAACTTCGACACCAGTACGTTCACGTAACT